AACTCCTGAAAAGATCTGGAAATCTGCCTACTGTGAGGGTAAACCATCCATTTTAAACAAAATATCTCACTCCCCCACCCCCACCTCCTATCACACCATAGGAGAAAATGAGTGTCAGTCATCATATCACCAAATGCACAGGAATCTCAGGCTACCAACATGGCGCGAAGTCCCTCTGTCCTCATATAGGTTCCTTACTCTGATTCCCAGCCGTGCCTGGGATGCTTTACTTTGCTAACTTGAGGGCCCTCCCCTCAGACCAAGGCCCTCATAATTGTTGCGGAAGAAGCCTGATAGCCTTGCACCGGGCTCTTCCGGGGTTGATGGCAGAGGCAAGTTCTGTGCCACCTCACCGTTCTGGGGCTGATGGTTCCCCAGGACCTCACTCAGAGTTCCGATTGATTTCTTGCAGGGCATAGTACCCGCCCTCTCAGGTCAAGGCCCTCCACTTCCTGATTCATCATGCAGGAAAGGAAGGCTCGATCTACCCGACCGCCATGTTGGGTCCGACGAGAGTTGCAACAGGGTCTTGGCAAAAATTTCTGCCCATGTTTCCTCACCTTGACACTTATTAATGTCTTTTATCTCCTCCCTCTCCTGAACTGAGGCTGCCCACTTATACCAAGGCTCTCAGCTTTCTACGACCCTCCGGCTGGAAATCTCACTCAGCCCGACGGCCATGCCCAGGGTTCCCTAGGCCTGAAAACAGGGGCAGGTCTTTGGGGGAGTGGCAGAGGTTTGCCTCTGGGGTGGGGGGGTTCCCTCATTCTTCATTTGGACTCCTCACCTTGACTCTTGCTGCAGCCTGGAACTCCTCAGTCGCCTGTCCTGAGGCCACTGCCTGAGGCAAAGTCTCTCACTTCTGGAGACCGCTAGGAGGAAGTGAGCACTGCCTTTCACTTCACGGATGACCCGGCCTTTCAAGGCTGACAGACTCGGTGGGATCTCCAGCGCCCCCTCTGTTCTGGAGTGGATGGTACTCCGCAGTTTCCCAGAGGATTCTGATTATACTCCTCTCAGAACCTTAGACACTTCCCTCTCCCCACTCCCCACCCCTTACAACAAGGTCCTTACCTCTGAGATTGTCCGTGCCAAAGTCAGCCTGACAGCGTAGGTCCCAGAGCAAGTGAAGGGAAGTCTCTGCATGAACCTACATATGATTGAGTCATCAATCTGGGTCCTTATCTTGGCTCCCACCTCTTCAATGAAAAGCTTTTTTCCAGAAATGCCACATCTCTGCAAACTCTTGAGTATATTCCTATTTTAAATTTTGCAGAGAATGGGTCTGTGTCTCACGAGTGATGTGAGATGGGAAGCTGAAGAACAAACCAGAGAACTCAGGATTGGCGGTGGACTATCAGAGGAAAAAAAAAAAAACAAAACAAATACTCTTCTGTTCCTTCTCTTTATGACCCACATTTGGCCTTTTAATGTAACTTCAGTTGTAATAGATTTACTTACTTAGTATAGGAAATGAACTGAACCAGATAATTTTGTAACACCCAATCTTTTGAGGTTAACTGACACTGCATATGTAGATGATCATATTATTACCCGATATTATATCCTTTCATTATTCACACTGCTCATTTATTTTGGTATTCTTACTGCTCTGGTTATGTATTCCAATCCAATACTTTGAGCAAAAAAATTATTTTTTTGAATAGCCTGAGATACATTTTGGAGTAGTGAGAAAAAAAGTGAATAAAGATACACAAGATCTGCTTCAGGGTGGGAGTGAAGGAACAGTTTGTGCCGTAGAAGAATTCAGACCATGGGTTTTGTCTAGTTCTGTCACTTACCCACTTGTGAATATGAGAATATATTGCAAGTCTTCATCTGACAACTGAATTCGATAAAGCCTATCTTATAAGACTATGGGAATGTATGTATTGTATGTAAAGTGTCTGTCAGGATCACTGGCAAATATTGGTTATATAATGAATAGCAGTTATGATTTTTGCCTAGACAGTATCATCCTAAGAATGTTTTTTTTTTTATTAAAATCAAGGACGTGTCACAGAAATTACAATGCTCTCAGACAAAAGAACACCGAATCAGCCAAAAATTCGCTTTTGTATGTAAAATTAAATAGTTTCCTCATTTCAGCATTTATTATTTAATACTGGTGCGTTTTTTTCCTACAGCCTTGATGAAACTCAGAGCTCCTAGAATTTTGTCAAAGACCAACTTTTCCAGTCCTTTCCAGCTGTCCTTCCATCCAAACCACCTCCATATTCTATTGTTTCTTCTCCACCAAAATCTAGCCCTCACTTAGAATTTGCCAAATTACACTCAAGATAACCTAATTAAAATGCTCTCGTGTGTGTGTGTGTGTGTGTGTGTGTGTGTGTGTGTGTGTGTTTTAATGAAATGTTTTCGGGGTGACATTGGTTAATAAAATTATATAGGTTTCAAGTGTACAATTCAATAATTTCATATGGATATTGCATTGTGTGTTCACCACCCAAAGTCAAATCTTCTATCACCATATATTTGACCCCCTTTACCCTTTTCTACCTCCCTCCCTCCCCGCTTCCCCTTGGGTAACCACCATACTGTTGTCTGTGTCTATGACTTTTTGTTTGTTGTTGCTTTCAGTTTTATATCCCACATATGAGTGAAATCATATAGTTCTCAACTTCTTCCATATATCTTATATCACTTAGCATTATATTCTCATGTTATATATACATATATGCTTCCTTGTTCTTTTTTCTTAGGAGTGCTTTGGCTATTCAGGGTCTTTTGTGGTTCCATACAAATATGATAATTTTTTTTTGTTCTATTTCTTTAATAAACGCCTTTGGGATTTTGATGAGGATAGCCTTGAATCTGTATATTGCTTTGGGTAATATGGTCATTTTTCATATGTCAATTATTCTAGTCCATAAACACGGAATATCTTTTTATTTCTTTGTGTCTTTTTCAATTTCTTTTAATAATGCCTTGTATTTTTCAGTGTATAAGTCATTCACATCCTTTGTTCAGTTCATTTCTTAGTATTTTATTCTTTTTGTTGCAATTCCAAAAGGAATTATTTTTTTCATTTCTTTTTCTGAAATTGCATTGTTAGTATATAGGAACATAATGGATTTTTGTACATTGATTTTGTATCCTGAAATTTTATTGTATAAAATACTCTTTTAATGCAGTGGAATCTGGCTCTACCCATTCAAAGTAAAAAGTGTCAACACAGTGGCTTCTATGCATCTCACCTTAGGGACTTCCCCCTTATTTCTCAGAAACTCTCTGGATAAAATGTGCAAAGGACACTTATGTGTGCACTATATTCTCCTGCTTTCAGATAAGAGTAAAGACACCTTTCATCCTGCCTTTTAGGGGCTAAATTGTGTCTCCACCCAAATTCTTGTTGAAGTCACAACACCCAGTACCTCAGAATGTGACTGTAGTTGCAGTTAAGGTCTTTAAAAAGATGGTTATGTTAAAATGAGGCCATTAGGCTAAGCTATAATCCAGTCTGAACGGTGTCCTTGTAAGGAGAGATTAGGACACATAAGGAGAGACCAGGGATGCATTCACACAAGGAGACAGACAAGTGAAGAAGGCAGCCATCTGCAAGCCAAGGAGAGAGACCTCGGAAGTAACTAATCCTGCCAGCTCCTTGATCTTGGGCTTCCAGCCTCCAGAACAATGAGAAAATAAATTTTGGATGTTTAAGCCACCCAGTCTGTGGTATTTTGTTATGACAGCCTGAGATAACTAATATACTTCCCCAGGTAAAGATTTCTTTTTGGATTATCTACCATCCCAAAAGAATTCATAAGAGCTTGTCTTAATGGCC